GCTAACTTTAACCAACCTTTCATCAAGTAAGTGTCAAGTTGTGAGTAGCTTGGTTAAAGTTAGTACTCTTGTCTGTGATATATGTAATCTTCTTTGATCAAGTAAGTGTCAAGTTGTGAGTAGCTTGGTTAAAGTTAGCACTCTTGTCTGTGATATATGTAATCTTCTTTGATCAAGTAAGTGTCAAGTAGTGAGTAGCTTGGTTAAAGTTAGCACTCATGTCTGTGATATATGTAATCTTCTTTGATCAAGTAAGTGTCAAGTTGTGAGTAGCAGATTACACATATTACAGATAAGAGTGCTAACTTTAACCAAGCTACTCACAACTTGACACTTACTTGATGAAAGGGTAGATTACACATATCACAGAAAAGAGAGTGCTAACTTTAACCAAGCTACTCACAACTTGACACTTACTTGATGAAAGGGTAGATTACACATATCACAGAAAAGAGAGAGTGCTAACTTTAATCAAATTGTTCACCACTTGACACTTACTTGATGAAAGGGTAGATTACACACATCACAGAAAAGAGAGTACTAACTTTAATCAAATTGTTCACCACTTGACACTTACTTGATGAACAGGCAAATTACACATATCACAGAAAAGGATAGCATTGGTGTTCTCACATTCTCCATCATTACAGATGCAACAAACAGCATCCTCATCAACAGATGAACTTGCATCTTTCCCAGAACACTGATTCTGAAAATGGGATTCTTTTTCAAGCCTGTCCATCAACATTTCAAAAGTATCAGCTGAAATTTCTGGGAAACCGTCAGTTTTTCTCTTTGTGTTCATTAGGTCAAGCCATGCGCAGTCCTACGAGTGTTTTTACAAAAAGTATACAAATTTAATAGTTTGTAACTAGATTATATAAGATTTAAAAACTCCGTAAGTCTACAAATTTACTGATTTGATAGATGCACAAAAAATATTAACAATACTTGTGCTACAGTTTTAGAATCACTCATGAATGTTATAAACTCTAACATAAGTTACTCACCAATTTAATATTTTCACTGAATATAATTAACTCAGAATACTACTATATTCTTCACAAGAATGTGAATTAAAACAAAAATAAAATGCTAGAACTATAAAAAACAACAACCTATATTTACAAAACATCACAACTTGTATATAAAAAGACATTGTTTCCGACAATAAGACAAAAATAAGGTTTGGGAGGAGACGATTCCATGAAATTTAACCAACCTCTTCATCCATATCATATTCTACTTCTTCATCCAGTTCTTCCGCAGACTTTTCCACGAACTTGTAATAAACTGCTGGTCTTGCTGGAGCAATAGGAGCATCGTAATCAGGAAGTATTCGAAATGATGCCTCTGGAAGCTTTGGACCAGTTGATCCACTTTCCTTGTGAATCTTAGAGTTTTCCGAGTTCTTTCCTACTTTTGAAGGAGGTTTTTCAAGCTTTTCTTCAGGTTTTAACTTTTCTTCATGTTTCTTTGTTTCACTCTCCACTACATCAGCTATTATAACATTTATTGGTTCGCTGATACTGATTCTATGGGTTCTCCCCTCTACGTCCACTTCAACAACGCGCTGAGATTCGGCATATGTCAAGGCTTCCTGAGCAGTGGGAAAATAATCAGGAGGGGATGGAGATCGTCTGCTTTGTCTGTGGTGCCACCTTCCTTTTTTCTGGTTACATTTCTGCAGAGGTGCTGACTGTGGACTAACAACAGAATTCTCATGATCAAAATTGTATAAATGAAACTGAATTCCGGAAAAACTTTTGTAAATTCTAGAACATCCCGGAACAGGGCATTCATAAGGTGGTTTAGTGGCACGCAGGTTCTGACAGAAGATTTTCACATCAAAATCAAACACCATTCTTAACCTATATTCTCTAAGCTCTTATTTTCTAGAGCTTTGATTGCATGATCATGTCATTTTTCTTTATTTTTTGACATGAATGGATGTCCTGTAACAGAAAAAAATAAATACAATGATGTATTTCTCTTAAAATTTATGTGAATTGTGCAATAAACAAAATGATAAATATATACATTTAGTTAGATGTACATCAAATATATTATCCTAGATTATAAACACTATTGGAAAATTTTAAAACTTTTTATGCAAATAATGAAATTTCAATAAAGTGTATTCAGTATGCAATGCTACTATAAAAACAATTTGTTGACACAGGTGAATCTATCAGAAAATACTTCAAACAAATAATTCTGATGTTTCTCCCGCTTCACACATGGTTACCTTCTCCACAATAGATTTTTGGGTACATGTTCACAGAAGACACAATAATGTTGTGGCTTTTTGACAAAATTTTGATGTTAATAGAACACTTCATTGAAAGATGTGACTGGCTTTCTCCGAGTTATTTATAGTACAATATATCCATAAAACTATTCTATGTCCAATAGTCAAACCAAGTTTTGAACCACAAAAAATCAAGACACGAGGTATGTACAAGCAGATGTCACACGCGATTTAATAACATAGGCAAACAACCTTCCAAAGATAGTGATTTTTCTACTTTCTGGGGGAGTAAAAACTTGGAGGATGTTACCAAGGGAATAAGTACATTGTGTGCAAGAATAATTACAAATATGTCCGAAATACAACATAACCTAAGGAAATGTGACGACGTAGAGTTTTCAATGCTAGGTCCACAAGAATCTCGAGTTCCTGGGATTACACCTTTGGTTTAACTACTTGATATTTTAATTGGTAACTCTAAAACCATTGTGAAAATATAAACACACATACATCTCAGTTACTATTAGCTCCTGACCACAGAAAGCTGACTATACAAATTGTAACTTACTACATAGTGTAGCTAATTTTAGATGCTTCCCTAACTAAGATTCAAGAACAAACCATATAAACAAATTAGTTGAGTTTCTACAACAAACAGTATTTATTGAAAATCATTTTACTTTTATTATTTCTAGTTAGTTTAACATCTTAATAATTCATAACTTTTACTGCAGAACGTAGAACAGTGTCATATTGGTGAATAAAGAAAATGGTGGTGAAATAACTCTAACTAAATCAGTCATACAAGTCACACTGACAGGATGATAAAACATTTGTTAAAAAAAGTAATGAAAGATTTCCTATACAAGCTAAAGACAAACACCATATATAAAACTTGATATTTAAAATAAGTTCACATTTGGTTTGGAATGATTGCTTTAGTTGTTGTTTTTATTCAGTCGATGGAAATATGTCCTCTTGACTGAATGGATTTCTGTCGCTTTCATCCATCGTATGAAATGAAATATTTAACAAAAGACCTTGAATTACAGTAAATGTAAGGTAATTTACTTGGGTTATCATAACTTGGATAACACAGAGACGGAAGCCAATAGAGTGAATTAAGAAAAGAATCATAGTACAGTTCTGAATAAGTCACTCAAGCATTCGAAGCAGTGCTCTGTTGAAAGTAGTAAAACTAAGAGAATTTTTTACGTTGATTTAAAATTTTAAGTTGTATTTACAGAAATATCGGTTACATGTAAAGTAAATATTTCTCTATAAAGTCACGAATTATGAAAAGACTATTTTTTATTTTTCATTAATTAAGTAAATACAGGTAAATTACTCTTTTTTTTAAATATTTCCTCTTTAAATTTCACAGTCCCTATGAAAGACCTTACAACGTAATAAAAAGGACATTCTTGCAACCTTAGATTACTGAATGAGATATAAAACTTTAGCAACAAGCAAAGTCTCTAAATCTTACTATATACTAAATACTTTTAAAAATATATATTGTTATTTTTCACTTTTTTTCTTATGAACATAAAAGTCTATTAGTATAAAGTACAAGTAAAACACAGAACATGTACATAATTTGAACAAATATATTTTACTGCCTTGCAGTGAAGTACTTTACAGGAAAAAAAAAAACTTTGTAAATGAGAACAAGGAAATTTCACTAATAATGTTTTATACAAAAGATGATAAACTTTGTTGATAACAGAAAATGTTAGAAAAAGATACTGTGATGAATGGATAAAATGGCTTAATCGTTGTTATGATCCATTTTGATGATGGCCAAATATATTTTACCTTATTGTACGTGTATTTCTGGTACTTTGTGTTCAAACTATCGTACTTCGCAGTAATTAGTAGGAGCAGTCTATCAGTCTCGTGACTTGTAAAGGCCGAGACATTGTCCCCCACAATCAAAGAATATCCCCTCCCCATTTACAAAAACTTAGTTCACACAGAATCATAGGTGATTTCATTCACGTAATAAATACTGCAAATCCTTAAAGCTTACAGGATAGCAGTAAAGATCATCAAGTTTTTTGCCGAGATTGTTGGAAAGGCTCTTCATCTTCCTCTCTTATCACAACTGTAAAACCTCGTTCTTCTTTAGCTGAAATGTTTGATGTGGTACACAGTTCAGTCACTTCATCTTTACACACAGGCACAGATCTTGACTTTGCTGATGTCCAAAATTGAAGAACAAGCCAACAGACTACTAGCAGAAATAACTAGCACAAGCATATAAATGCTAAGAAGACCCAGTACATGAAAAACAACAAACACTTTTGTGGCAAACATTTACAGGCAATAGAAGGAAATGACCTAGGAGTTTGGTTAACAGACACAAAACTAAGCTTTAAAAAAGGATAGTACAGGCATGAGGCCAGATGTAACAGGATGAAAAAATTTAGAGATCCAACTTACACAGAAGATCAAAGATCAGACTCTTTCAGGCAACAGTAGAGAGTTTACTCTTACACAGATAAAAAACATGGATATTCACCATCACACAAGAAACTAGATCAAGCACACAGTAGACTTTTAAAAACAGCATTTAACATCAAATGTAAAGATAAAGTTAAATATGCAGACGTCAAAAAACTATACAAATAGGTTGAATAAATAAGACTTAAGAACAGATGATTAGGTCAAGAAGCTTCTGCTGTAAATAGCACAGCATGGGGCAAGAATGTAAATAAGGCAAGCATTTATTGGCAGAAACATTGAATTAGAATCGTAAGAGATGGCCAAGACTAATAGGAACAAAGAGCTGCGCGCTTATGTTACGTGGCCCGACAGAATGCGGAATCATTGCTATTAAAAGGTTAATTTTAGGCACTAGAAGCTTAGAAGAAGAATTTTACTGTTGTACTCAAAAACTTGGGGAAGGTTTTACCTTGTAATGTAATAGGTTGTTAATTTGAATCTTTTACCATTTTATTAAATAGGTACACAGATTTTGAATGTTTTTGTTATGGGGAACGTTTGAATTGATGGGTTCTTAATTTATCAACTGTTTTTTCATTGCATTATTTAACAACTCACTAAATTGGATAAACACCAGTCAACAACTCAACCTAACTCTTAAATCAGTTTCAGTTCTGGCTAAGGTATATGTTTATTTCAAAATAATACCAGTTATATTACCCAAAATTCTGTCTACATTTAAATTGCTAAAAACAATTGAGAGTATTACTTCTAAACGACAATTTATATCATTAAAACAGCCTACCTCCATGTAAATAATTATTATCTCTTCTGTTCCAATAAGCACTGTGTAGGCTGCATAAAGAACATCTTTCTATGTACTGTCTATACTACACTACAGTAACCTGAGCCCTAACACTAAAGTACAATTAACCGTTAAACTTATAGCCAACTTCTACTTATAGTCTTCGTTTTCCCGTTGGGTGCACAGTTTATGGCTTGACTCTTAACATGACTTCAAGTTTGTTCGTTCATTAAGAATAGCACTAAATATGCCTCAAATATATATATATATATATATATACGTAATGATAATTATAACATGAAAACGCTACATTCCCACGATCCAGACTTAACGTAACGTTTCACAAACAACGATAGTTTTAATCACCGTTACTGCGTTAGGCATGACCAATGAGCCTAACCGTAGCATTCACAAAACTACCTGCGCTAGCGTACCGCATCATTCGCTGTTCCTAGCCTTAACATGAAATACAAAGTTATTGTCTTTTGACTCTTTGACGTTGCTAAAACTAGTCATTTCAAATCTACAAAAGTTTTAAAGGTTATCAAACTTACCAAGAGAAAAATAATCCGCACACCAATAACTCCTCTAATAAAGCATTTGTATCTTTTCGATAAATATTGAGCTTCTAAAGCAGTAAAAGCTTAATTCTTTTTAACAAATGTACCCACAACTTCACAAGCCTTCTACAACTATGTCTACGACTCTAACCCAACTATGTACCCCCGGGTATATACCCCAACTGTGGTCCGCGCGGCTGTGTACATCATGCAAGTTCTGGACGGTAACTCACTAACACTTACCTCCACTTCTATCTAAGCATTTATCGCGTATTGAAAAAGAACATTGTTGCTTGATTTTGCTTCGAGTTCGAAGCAAGAGTAGTCTGCAAATATCGAAGTTGCATTCATTTCGCTCAGTTATTTTAAAATTGTATATTTTTGACTCTTCAAAATGTGAGCAATTAAAAGTTTACCGCAATGAGATGTCGTTAACCGTAGAGCTACAATTAAGAAACGGAAAAATTTTACTTTTCAACAGTGTTTGTGTCAGTACTACGAGCCTCGCCAAAGAAATTGTTCCTAATTGTGATGTAATGTGGCAACCTTGGCAGTTGCGTAGAATTTTTAAAGAAGGAAATACGTTACCGGTTGTGCACTTGAACTGAACATCTGTAAATTTAAAATTTAATTTGTGTAATTCGCAACCAAATGGTGTTTAATTTCATACATGTAGCTGTTTAAATTTATTTGGGTTTACAGTGTTTCCTATATCAGCCTAATGTATGTGATATGTGGGCTATTGTATGTTTTCTAACTACTTTTTAAAAATTTTCGACTGTGTAATTTCTATGCTGTAATGGCGGCTAAACGTGGTCCAGAAGGTCGTTAAGATTTCATTGTTCTAATTTTTTTTCTATAGTAGTGTTATAATATATGTTTTTAATGCTATAATTTGTATGTTAGCTAGATGGTACCTGATATTAAGATAGGCCTAGAACCCCTAGAAAGTTCTACATAAATTGACGTCATGTTTTTCTCTTTCATTCAAAATTAGATTATAAATACGGAATAGGTGTAGAGTGAGTTAAAACATTGTCGGGGATATAGTTAAGAGAGAGTAAAGTTATATCAAAATAGTGTTAAATCAATCAGTGTGTTTTCGTGAAGTATTTAAATCTGTGTTTGCTATTACCTTTAATGAGATACTTTGTACAAGTTAGTTTATTTTTCGTTAGTCCTAGGATTGTTTGTTAGAGAAGTTTGAACGTCACTTATAACGTAAGCCTACAACAAGTTACGACAGTGTGCAAGCGTTGAAGCTTTTATAAACGTTAAAGGAAGACATTGCAGTAACGTATAGAATCCAGTTTGAAAGGATAGACTTTAATATTTTTTGCTAGCTGAGTTGGCATTGACTAAAATTACCAGCTGACCAATGCTGTGGGGGAACAAAAATCATGAAATGATGCTGTTAACTGAACAAAGAGAGCAGGTTTACCTATTGGATTCAGGTGCACTTTTTTTAGTCAGTTTCACAAAAAGATCATACTTAAAGACCATCATCTTTAGTTCTGTGGAAGTCGACCTTGATGGAAAGAAAGCTATGAAACTAAACATATACCAGTAGAATTGCCTGTAATTACATCTGCACAAATATGCACACTGTGCATTCTGTTTGTTTATTATAATAAAAATTTTATTCATTTGCTCAGTCTCATTATTTTACACTTAAAGAAACTCAGTCAAGTTATCTAATAGTCTACTACAGAACACACCTCTAATTTCTTGATCAAATCTGCTGTTATTAACCAGATTACCTATCTGATACATTTTGGAAAATCAATTTTATTTGAAAATATCACACACACACACATATATATATATATAACCATGCACTAATCCAACATGTGTATATTCTTAAGACACAGATGTTACAGCTAAACATCCTCATTCCTGATTAGCTTGGCTGTGTTATAAAAGTTATTGTGTGTACGTGGTTAAATTGTCATTATGAAGAATGAAAGTCAAAATTTTTACCATTCCCAATGAATGAAGTAATGCATTTGACTTTTAGTGTTTTTTATTCTGTACATGATTATACAATTCCTCTACCTAGTCCTACACAAAACTACATGAACATGAGTCAGTTAATGAACTATTATTGAATTAGACATACAATCTTTCCATTTCTCATTGCAATACCTCTCCTGCATTGTCTGAATGATGTCACCTACTCTAAGTTTCAACTTAATTTTCAAACTAATGAATTTACTTTGAATTTATTTAATGATTGCTTATTACTTGCCTAAGTGATTAGACAAGTGGATGCAATGCCCAGTTCTTAAGCCTAAAAAACCATATTCATTTCTGATATCATAAGATTAAGTTATCTTCTTGTATTGCTAAGATCGTGGAACATATGGTTAATGTTTGAGTATTTTGTTCTTAAACATTATGATCAACTATTTTCACATAAAGTAGGACTTCAAAAAAAAAGGTACAAGTGTGATTGATTGTTTGGATGGTCTTTAAGAACTCATTAATCTGGCTTTGGTCAGTCATGAATTATTGATGCCTGTTGTTCTAGATGGTGATTCTGCTTTTTATAATGTTTGGGTTAATGGTTTACCCCAAAAACCTTATAGTCTTGGATACAGAGGTAAAATTTTGCAATGGTTGCACAATCATTTAATGGGTATACATTTGCAGTCAAAAGTTAAAGTATTCTATCTTCCATAAAAGCTTTTACTAGAGGGGATCCTCAGGATTTATAATTGAGTCCTACTATATTTAATGTTATGCAGTGTCTTAACAGAGGGAAAAATGATGTTATTTGACCACATGAAAGCTCCATTTGGAGACAAGGACAAATTTGGGAATTTTCCTTCTCTGCAGTGAAATGTAACTATTGTTACGTCTCCGTTTGTTAATTAACTTTCCGTAACTTCGTTCCGACGAAACTTTAGCGACACAAGTTCCTACTTGATAAAACTGGTTTATTCTTTCCGAATATAACTTTATGATACACTTAATTTCAACAATCGCGCTATAACAAACGCTATATCAACGAACGTCAACAATACTTCTGACTGCAGTTCAATTACTCACTATCTACTCACACATTATTGTCCCGTCACGTTGTCACCCTCTTTTATATGCCAGACTACCCTATATCTAGTAAATGCTAGAGCATTCGCCAAGGTACAGGATAGTTCTAGAAAGCAGAGGGCGTGAGAATAGTCACGTGATCTCGCTGACGCAACACTATATATGAGCCATGGATATTGCACATGAGAAAACAGGGGCATCCCAAAACTTTGTGTTAAGGAGATGTATATATCACCTTAGTAACAGAGATAAAACACCTTGGAATGCTGCTGAATAATCATTTGAATTTGAAGCCTTACATTTTCTCTTTTATTAATGCTTGTTCTAAAATGCATTAATATTCCTAGAGCTATATCTTGTACATTTTTGGGAGCCGTTCATCATTTTGTTATTGTATTGTGCTTTAATTTGTTTAAAATCGAATTATGGCTGTACTCCTTATGTTTCTACTTCTTTACACATGTGCTTTAAAAATTAGATGCATTCAAAATAAGACTTTAAAGTATTATTCGGGAAAAATGACTTATTCTCTTTCCTCTGCTTTTTTTGGTATTTTCTGGCTCATAATTTTACCTCAGAGTAGTTAGTAGAGGCCTACTAACTGGAGGGTCAAAGATACTGAACTATAGAGCATGCTTCTCCCCAAACTTGAACCAAGTTTGTCGTACAAGAGAGATGGGATGCAAATGCTCAAATCCAAACATCTTTTATTTGTAACAATACATACAAAAAACAAGGCAAGCGGGTCTCATTCATAGATAAGTAGAAATGGCAAGAGAAAAATGAAAAAAACCTATATTACTATTAGTTTCTCTTGCCAGTTCAATGTGATCTCCCCTACACGTTAAAACTAAATCCAGTAGAGTAACAATGAAATAACCTGAGCAAGTTAAAAGAAAAAAGATAATCCAAACACTTAAACCTATTAGTTTAAACAAATTCTACCTTTCTCAGGAGTTAAGGTCGATGTTAAATCCAAAATTACTCATTTCACTAATGGTGAATGTTAACATGAAAATAAA